GAAAAATATTTTCACTTGCCACAATTGTCACTTCTCTCGTTTCCATCTCGTTTCCCCTCGCAATACGCACGTTTCCCTAATATCCACCTTTCTTTTTTCCAATTTTTATCCCGTGCACCATAGTTCCCCCCGCCCCTTACAACCTCCAGACCACTTTAATCGACTCAACTTAGCAATTTGCCGCGGTATACCGAAGCGTCGCGTTTATTAGCCGCGTAGGAGGAAGCACGCCAATTACGACCGGCCAATTATCGCCTGTCCAGCCAATTCGCGAGCACGATATCGCGTTATAGTGCAACGATCGCGGTGTTGTTCGTGTGACGCGTGCTCGGAAACCTCGTCGCTAATTACCGCGTACTTCAAACTTCCCGCCCGAATTACTCTACATCTCGCAAAAAGCGTGAATCAAAGGAGAGACAAATTGAACAGCGCGGACGAACAAATGACGAAATTTTTAAAGCTGAAATTTTGCGGAAGAAAATAAACTGGGGTAAAAGTTTCGTCGATTTCTGCATTATCTCTCTGCGATGGACGAAATTTTCCAATAATTCTGTCGTCGATAATTACAGGTGTACTTTAATTTATTTTAACAATAAACCAAAGAATGGCGGTTTTTCGTTTAGCTGATATCGAGGAATAATTGTAAAATAATACTCGACAAAATTTGTATGTATTACTTGTTTGAAAAGAAGTAACTTTGTGACTGAAACTTGTAAAGATATTAAGGTTGTCCCATGAGTTCGTGCCGGAAGTGAAAAATATTTTAATCGAGATCGAAGGAAATTCTATAGGAAAAACTTGTGGAATGAAAAGACTCTTGCGTTCTTTTTTCCATCGAACTTGAAGGTTCCTTGGAAATATTGATCGAAATTATAAAATTCCGTATGAACTTATGAGACGACCGAATATTTCTACAAGAAATACGTTGCTCGCCACAATAAAATAGATATGAAACTGAACAGAACGCTTGCTATTCACCACGACTCATCGACGGCGCGAGATCTATCAACAAACGATACAGTAACCGATGCAACCTTTGCACTCGCCTACCAAAACAACAAAAAATACAAAGAAGCAAAAAGAAATGATAAGAAAGTCGATCCTCTGATAGCCTCCGTTCCCCTGCTCTCCCCTTCCACTCAACTGCTCCGTGTGTTCCAGACACAGCAGGGTAATTAATGGCGAGTACCTCGGCCAGAGATAACCGCGAGATTGGTAAGTTCGATCGTTAGCTAGAAAGTTTTAATAAACCGCTCGCCTCGCTGGCTCGCCTCGCCTCGCGATGGTGAAAGAGGGCGAAAAAGAGAGAGGGGGTGAGATTCTTATCTGCTCGGGGCGATCGTCGGGGTTAGGGGCGTTTCGACGCTGAAATAAAGGAAGAAATAGAGGCGGATATAAAGGAGAGCCGGTCGTCGTGAGGCGTCATCTTCTCGAGATCAAACGGGGAAACGAGAATTTTCGGCCATGAAGTGGGAGGAGGAAGCGAGCGAGAGAGAGAGAGCAGTTGAAAACGGAGACAGTGAGGATTACCAACGCGAATTCGATGTCGTCTGCTCACCCTCGTTTTGTAGACCCGCTCGACGGCGACGTTGTCGGTGAACGTTGGCTCCTGCCAGAATATTAAGCGATTTCGCTCGCCAGGGCTTAGCCGCACTTCAAAGGACGTCGGGCACGTCGAAACTTTCGGATTCTCCGTGTCTGCGAATGGTAATATAATCAGCCGTGAGTATGGTAAACAAATTGGCCCGTTTTAGAAGGGAGGGCCGGGTATACACACGGTGCACTGGATGCACTGCAAGAGGGGAAACGTTTAAATGGAGAATTTTCCTCCACTTCCCGGCCGAGCCGTTTCCTTCCTTTTTCCCTCGCTTTTCGTTCTGCGGGGAATTTGACGTAAGTTGCGTGAAATTGTCCACCCTTTTTTCGACATTGCTTCTTTTTTTTTTTTCAACGTGTTGGGTACGAGAGATTTTAGAGAGGGGATTCTGAGAGGGTTTTACGAGACTGAGGTTTAATTATGGTTTTCTTGGTTTCTTTATTTTGGCAGTTTTTCAGGGGGTTTTCTTAGGTGATTGTGAAAACGGTCTCGCGTTTCAACGCTGCTATCTTGCACGGCAAATATTGTGTAAAATGAGAAACAGATAGGAATATGCACTGTTAGGTTTGGACTTAGAGAAAAATGGAAATTATTTTCTTACCTTGTAATTATATTGTGATTAAGTAAGTTTGTCTTTGAACTGAAAATATTTGCGAGATTTTATTGTCACATTTAAAATGTTTTTCAGAAAATTCTATCTACGTACATATACAAAGGAGTATATCTGTTCCCAAGAAAGTAGCCTAACAATGGTATTATTAATTTAATTATTAAATTTGTGTGACTTATTTAAAGAATAATTCTTCTCTATAAGTTATTAACAAAAATCAGTCGAAAATAATAAGTAGTCTTACAAGAAAACAACGAAAATATGAGGCATGAAGGAGCAAGTAGAATAGGTCAGCGACTGGTCAGACACGCCAATCTCAACCAACTTGCGCTTACTTTTTTCCCTGAAAGACATTTATATCCTTCTGAAAGTGTGAAAAAAAGTATAAACTTTGAATTAGTTTAAAGAAATATTAATTTTTAAACATTTCAGCTACGAACGATCAATGTAAACAATTTAAATCTATTTCTCGATAATGAAAATTTCTTTCCTGCTAATTCATACCGATCGTGAAACTTTTCTTGATCACGAGAAGTTAGGATCCCCAACCGAAGACCTTCCAATTCAATAAATCAAAATTACCAGAGAAATTTGTAAAGCCTGATACTTCAATGTATCAAGAATCTCAGCAATTCTACAAACGATTGCTGCACTACTTCAACAAATCCCAACCTGAATGCACCAAACGATTAAAAAAAAAGAAGAAAGAACGATTTCTCCATTAAGAACCATCAAAGTCTCTGTTCCAAACAAATGGCCGGGAAGAAAAAGAGCTGGGTGTAAATGAAATTAATCGGCCCGATCGCAAGAACCACCCACATCCGTTCTCGCACCGTTTGCAGAACAAATTGCCCTCGTTCCAGATCGACGTCCCTCTCGATTCCACTGCAATTACCGATCTCTCCACCGTGGCCATCGACCAGCTTATAGTTTTATGATCGCTAATTAAACCGGAAGGGAATCGCGTTACGACACGGCCACGCCAAGGCGGTCTGACACAATTAAAAGTTTCGGTGGATCCGATTTAATAGTTCGACGAGATCCTCGGTGTGGCAGAAACACAGGAGGGGGGCTAGTGTGAATTTGTCGCGATAAATTACACCGGAATAGTTCTTTGAGCACGGTTTTGTTTTCGATTAAAAGTTTCGCACCGTGAAATTTCCTGTTTGTTGGTAATTTGACGGAACTTCCTGAAGGAAAGAATTTTAAGCATTTTACATTGTTCGATTTTTGCTGTGTACTTATTGCGAATGTTTGTATTGGATTTTTATATCGTTTTCGTTGATGATACATTGGGAGAAATGCGTGTACTGTGTAAAGCAATATATAAAATTTTTAATTTGCTTTCGTTGCAAAACTAAATTTTTTCTTACTTTTCATTAACTGATAGATGCTGTACGGTTCAGATGTTTTAAATAGTAAGCGAAATTTTGGGAAATAAAATAATTTTATTCTAATATCCTCAAGCGTAAAATGAAATATCTTAACCGTGTGTCTCAAATGTTTCTTGACAATGAAAATAAGTTGAGAAAGAAAATGATACAACACAATCGGTTAACGCTGCTACGAACTGCAAACGGTTACAGATTGTGAAAATCGCACTATTTCACGAATTTCGGCCTATAACTGTAATAAATCTGAAGATTCCTAAATCCTTCGATGCCTGTCGCTCATTTCTGCATCAACCGATTTCGATGAAATTTTCAGAATGTATACCGTTGACATAGATCTACAAAACGTATTTTTTAAATTTTCATTACAAGCTCAACTAAAAAAGTTGTAAACAATGACCCTTACAATTTTCTTTGCGATTCCCAAAATTGCAATTTTTACTAAATTCTTTCCACACGTCATCCAGCAACTATACCAATCCTTTTCTAACTTCTAAAAAAAATTCAAGTCGTTAGGTCCAATTTAAAAAAAGTTATACCGTTTTAAAGAATGTCCGAATATCGGTGGGAGTCACTGTATATGCGAATTCGTAATTACCTCACGTTCCATGTTTCCCCGACTCCCCCCTAACCTCTCCATTCTCAGAAAGCGCTTCTTTGACCTTCCTCCCCAAGGCCACCGCCATCTTGTTCATCCTTGCCTCATCCGGTCAGCACACCGGTTGGCGCCTCTTTAATCGTCGTAATTAGTCCACCGGGGGCTTGGACGGTACAGCGAAATCGTAGGTCGAGCAATTAAGAATCGCCGAGTGGCCGGAGCTGCCTGGATCAACAGCAGTTCTGTTTCGCGTAATTGCATATCGGCCCGGGCAGAATCCATCTGTCCACCCTCTTTCTCTGTACCTCTACTCCGCCTCCTCCTCCTCGACGACTGCTGTCCACCGGAAGGAACTCGCTTAAAGGGAGTTTCGCGAACTTTAGGAATGAGTAATTAAGCGGGACGCGGGCTAAGTGCACTCGCCTCCAACGAAACTGAACTTCCTTTTCGCCGTATCGAGGCTTCGATTCCAAACAGGACCTACGCCAACGATTTCCCTCGATGTTTCCAGGCTTTCGAAAAAGTTTCACCTTTATCACGATCACGAAATAGTTCTGGTCTACTATTCCTTCGAATCCACGTTTCACCTTCTTCGGCCATCGTTTCTCTCCGATTTACTCCTGTCTTTCTGTTAGCAGTAGCTTCACCTTCTGTCTTCTAGTTACTTTTCCTTCTATTTCTCTTTTCTAGTATTTGTGTTGGTCGTAATTTTCTCCTGTTTTTTCGTTAGTTTTCCTTCTCTTTTTTTCTGTAGTCCAACATCGTTTCTCTCTTCTTTTCTCCTCCTTTTGGTAGTAGTAGTTTCTCCTTCTATATTCTAGTTATTTTTCTTCGTCTCTTTATCTTTATTTCTACCCCACTTTTCGTTATTTACTTGGTCCTTTTTCGACGATCTCGATTTCCTTTCTACTATTTGTCCTGTCTGTTTCATCTTCTTCGTTCATCGTTTCTCTCCTCTTTCACCTTCTTCATCTATCACTTCTCTCCACTCTCCTCCTTTCTCTATTAGTAGTAATTTTCTCCTGTTTTCTCGTTACTTTTCCTCCCCTTTCTATCTTTCTTTCTAGCCCACTTTTCGTCATCTACTTGTTCCTTTTTCAACGATCTCGTTTTCCTGTCTGCTATTTGTCTTATCCAGGTTTCATCTTCTTCGTTCATCGTTTCTCTCCTCTTTCACCTTCTTCGTCTATCACTTCTCTCCTCTTTCATCTTCTTCGTCTGTCATTTCTCTCCACTCTCCTCCTCCTTCTATCGGTACTAGTTTCCCCTTCTATCTTTCCAAACTTTTTCTCCCCTTCTCTCTAGCCCAGTTTTCGTCATCCACTCGTTCCTTTTTCGACAATCTCAATTTACAATCCACTATTTGTCCTATCCACGTTTCACCTCCTTCGTACATCGTTCCTCTCCTCTTTCTATATCACTACCAGTTTCCCCTTCTATCCCTTCCTTACACTTCCTCCCCTTTCTCTCTGGCCCACTTTTCCTCCGTCGACTTGCTCGTTTTCTCGTTCTTACTGTCTTCCTACCAGCTCGTGATTGAAACGCGGCTTTGTAACCCATCCGGTTTGTTCGTTAATGCTCTTCGATCGCCGGGGCTTCCCCGCTGAATTGTCGAACGTTTTTGTTTGCCCCTGGACAAACGTTCTCCGCACAAGTAGAAACGGCCGGTTCAATCCTTAACCGGCGCCTTGTAGTCTTGCACAGGATGGAGGGGCGAGAAGGAGTTTGTTGTCGGTGAACTTTTCCCGGGAGAAATGATCCTCCGTGGGTATACGTGGCGGATACACCGATCGGCAGAGGAAGGGGAAACGGGGGCGAGGGAAGTGTAATTAATTGTACGAATTTAAAAGTTTCCGCCGGAGGTTCGAGGATGAGTTTTTCGGCGGTGAGGTTACTAAGAGCTTGCTTTCGTATAGCCTGTGCACTAGCGAGAGGAAGTTTCTTGCTTCTGAGAGTTCGAATTTTTATATTTAATTACGAGTTGCAAGATTCGTGAGGTTCTTTATTGGGTACACTTCGGTGGCTCGCTGTCGAGTCACTATCCGTGTTTTATTAGATTCGTGCAAATGAAATGTCTGAAAAATTCGTTACATATACATTTCACTTGTATTAATGTTTGGAGATATTGATAATGTCGTTAAAATTTATTTTTAACTAATCGAAAAAGTACGAGGAATGAAAATTCACTGAAATTCGTGTAAATGTTAGGACACTTGAACGTTGGTGTATAAAATTCAAGATTGGTAACTTTTTTTATGGCAGCGACCACTTGACTCGCTGCCATAAATCCGGCTACAGGATACGCCTTAACACTATATTTAATAAATTTTTACAAACTACCGGTATTTTCTAATTTACTCGAAATTATGTCATACATTTTCAACAACGTCAACCAGAAATATAATTGCATCGTGGCTGTTTATTTCACATCGGCTAGTCGTTTCAGCGTTATTCTTCAAATTGTTTCCCGGATAATTTCTCCGGGGGGGGGGGCAAAAGGCA